AAAAATCTGTAATGTAATAAATACTCCTATTAATTTTTGGTGTTTTGTCCACATTGACAGGCAATATCTGGGTTTGTTTACTTCAATTAAAAGCAATAGAAAGTTATTTTTTAAAAAAAGAAATTTAAAAATAAATTAAAAAGCAATAAAAATCCAATATTTAGGATTTCTTTTGAAAATTCCAACTAAAGTCATTTTCAGTGATAAAAATTCCTGTCTGTATGTCTACTTAGCTTTTTATCATTTCTATATGGGCTTCATAGTAATATTCAGTACAAATATTAATAATTGTAATTCAGTCAGTCAGAGAATTTTCCTTTAGTTTGCAAATAAATTATCCTGCATAAAAGATTTTGATAATGTACACAGTGACTTCAGTCTCTTTAACTATCATGTGCACTCAGAATCCATATAAATTTTGGTCATTGTATTATGATTTTCTTAAGAACATTAGTTCACTCATTTAATGAATATTACTATACGATGGCAAATACCAGACTATTCCTATTCCATCTTTATATTATCAAAGACACAGTATTGGGCTTATAGATACTAGGCCACAGATACTAGTTAATAAATGAATAACTTTTATCTTCAGTAGTTTATGTGTCACTCAATGTCATAGGATTCAAATCTTGCCTCTGGTTTGAACTTACAGCCTTTGCCATAGTCACAGTTTAAAGCCTGCCTCCATCCCCTTTTAAGGTTCTGTTGCTCAGCAACAAGATTTCTCCATGCCTGCTTACATCATGTTGTCAAGGCAACAGGGTATAGCTGGCATGCTGGTTTGAGACACTGGGTGTGTGCAGTGTCAGAGAAGCCTGTGGTTCACAGCCTTGAAAAATCAGTGTATGCATGACTGTATTTAAGGGCATTTGTGTGAGAAGATATTGTGAATGTGTCTGACCACTCCAGCATCATACAGATGACGAGAAAGATACTCAGGCCACCTCAGGTCCTCTAGATTTTTTCTTTGTTTTCATAGAAGTCTTTTTCATTTTGGTGTGTACTTACCTCACCTCATTCCCTTTTCATTTTCTATGTGTAATTTTACATAAATTGAATAAATACTGCTTTGCCACTGCTTGCCAAAATCAACTTGGCCTGCCTGCCACTATCATAGACTAATAACAACTCATAGTTGGGGCTGGAGCGATAGCACAGGAGATAGGGTGTTTGCCTTACACGAGGCTGACCCGGGTCGATTCCCAGCATCCCATACAGTCCCCCAAGCACTGCCAGAAGTAATTCCTGAGTGCATGAGCCAGGAGTAACCCCCCTGCAATGCCGGGTGTGACCCAAAAAGCAAAACAAACAAAACAACAACTCATCATCAATGCCTTTATTTTGTGATGAATCTCAACTTTCCTGGCTTACTGTGGGGTATGTTGATTGTCACCGGAGTTTTAGCAGAAGCAACAGGAGCGTTATACCACTTTTCTGCCTGAACAGAGTTGCTTATTCACTAAGAATATGTTTATAGGTGTCACTACCTAAAAGATCTTTAGGCAGTATAATACTACTTAGTGCAACTAGAATAGCTCTATTGCCTTAATACTGTAAGCCAAGTCCCACATTTTATCATTAAATATTTCTTTTTATCAATGTTACTTAGTATTGACCCCATTTTACGGTTGAATGGACTCATCTGATATTATTATTATGAATGTGAGAATGTTTTATGGGTCCAGAGATATATTTATTTAGTTAGGTTTTGGACCATACCCTGAAGTTTTCAGGGTTTATTTCTGGCACTTTATGCTCAGGGATCACTTCTGGCTGTGTTCAGAGGAGCTTACAGAGTGCTGGAGATCAAATCTGGGTGGTTGCATATAAGGTAAATGCCCCACCTGTTATACTATCTTTTTTATCTTTGTGATTCCCCATCAGTTCCACTTCTGGGAATATATCCCGAGGATGTAAGAAAGCACAGTAGAAATGACATCTGTACCTATATGTTCATTGCAGCACTGTTCACAATAGCCAAAATCTGGAAACAATCCAAGTGCCCAAGAACAGATGACTGGTTAAAGAAACTTTGGTACATCTACACAATGGAATACTATGCAGCTGTTGGGAGAGGTTAAGTCATGAAATTTGCTTATGGAGAGTATCATGCTAAGTGAAATGAGTCAGAAAGAGAGGGACAGACATAGAAGGACTAAACTCATTTGTGGAGTATAAAACAACATAACATGAGGCTGACACATAAGGATGGTAAATACAAGGGACAGGAAGATTGCTCCATAGCTGGCAGCCAGCCTCATGAGCAAAGGGGAGAAGGCAGATGGAATAGAGAAGGGATCACTAAGAAAATGATGGCTGTTATACTATCTCATACTATCTCCATGGCCTTAGAAATTTATTTACAAGAATAGTAGGAGATATAAAATTCTAAATTCCATCCTTCATGACCATGACCCCTCAGACAAAATAAATATCCACATAATTAAGATAAAACTTAAAGAGCAAACATTGCTGATCTCAACTTCCCCTATGAGAGGTTTAGGCTGGATGCTGCAGGCTGACATTCACGTTCAGAGTTCGTATATCTGCTTCATAGTTTATAAATTCTGAAAAGGTCACACCGGACATGAAGAGATCTGCAAGAGTTTCAATTCCTTTCAGAATATTTTGAAGCCCTCCATATCTTTGAGGCTCTTTCTCATCAGCCAGAGTTGGTTATTGCCCATTTCAAAAATTCCAAAGGGTAAAGGGTACAAGTTTAATTATGCTGTGCCTTTCACCAGGAAAACATCTATGGAATGTTCGTTTTTGAATTCTACCACATCTCTCGCCCTACCAGAAGAAGAAACCACCCTCTGCAGTCATACCACTCAATCTGGTTGAATCCAGAAGCAGATTTCCCCCAGGCTCTGTCTCATTCCAATCTGTGTCCATCTCTTGGATGCAGCAATTCTTTAGTTAAAAGTTTTCAGTTCTTCGCACAAATCTGTTCTTTATTAAAAAATATTAGATGATTATAGTTTTTTTTTGTGGCCACCATGCAACTTTCAGATAAATTAGCAGTTCTTCTGATGACCCTTTGAATTATTTTTTTCAGCATCTCATCTTGGTGCCTAACACAGTGCCTGTACATAGTGAACCTTTATGAAATTTTGTTTGAATAAATAACTCTGTAATGGTTCTCTGGGGAAGTTTCTTAAATTTCATTAAAGAGTATTTTAGAGTAAAGGAGTAGGAAAGTTGACAGCAATTCAGCTCAGTCAGATTGGTTGTTTTCCACATACAGGACAAATATGTTGTTTTAATACATAAAAATGTTTGAAATTTTGACTGTTTCAGGACCAACTTGAATAATCTTCTCATTTGCATAGCAGTAATTGTTTATCAACCTTCAAGAACTCTGATAAGCTTATGAGTAAGAAAAGCTTTCTAATAATTACACTTTAATGAGTTATCTCAGTGCCAGCGCCCCAACTCAGCACTGAGGCATCTTGCCTACATACGAACATTGATGAAATGGGGCCTCTCTTAGAACTTGCCGAGGACCAGGAATTATTTGTACATGCTTCCTGTCAGGGCTAGGGAGAATGTATAAACCATCATTTTTCAACCTTTTGTGCAGTATCAGAGAAGCCTGTGGTTCGAAGCCTTGATAAATCAGTTTATGCATGACTGTACTTAAGGGCATTTGTGTAAGAAGATATTTTGAATGTGTCTGACCACTCTAGCACCATACAAATGATCAGAGAAATCCTCATGCCATCTAAGGTTCTCTAGATTTTTCTTTGTTTTCGTAGAAGTCTTTTTTTCATTTTGGTGTGTACTTACCTCACCTCATTCCCTTTTCATTTCCTATGTGTAGTTTTACATAAGTTGAATAAATATGGCTTCACCATCATTGTTCAATCTTTTTACCCCTGCAGACTGGCACCTCTCTGTATACTATTCCACAGGCCAGTATTTACAACCCAGGTGGTAGGCTAGTGGTTTAAAACATTTCCAAATATGTGGACTGACAGTGGTATTTGGAAAAATGGTTAAAGATCACTGGAATAAAATATAAAAAGTTGTAGGTTTCACTCACTATTGAGCACTAGAAATTTGGGCTGGGTATAGAAAAGAATTAACATAGTCCCAAGAGAAGACTAACTTGGTGTGGGATTATGAGGAGTGAAAAGGGTTAGGAAAGTGACTCAAGTTAGAGCAAAAATATTTGGGTACTATTGTAGCTCTTAAATTGGGTGCTGGGTAACTGAATGCTAATTTTGTTATTTATCATAATTTAGGTGTGTGTTGCATATATATAAAATAAATCTTATAATTAAAATGAAATGACTGGTGTAAGAGAACTTGCAAACAGTTTTATTTGTTTTGAATGCCTATGTCCACTTTTATGCAGCAAATAACTACTAGATACTGTATCCATGAGAGATGCTCTGTATGCTTTTTATCTGAATGCATTTAACATGGTAAATGAAGTAAGGTTTATATAACTTTTCAGAGCGCAAAGATTTCTAAACTCATTTTTAAAAAACTTCACACGGTAGCATTCATGGTAGAAACTAAAACCACCTCCTTGGGGAAAAGCACTTTAGCTAATTTTTGAAAGATTAGGAAACCTAGAGTTTTGGGCAGAGCAAACAATGTTAATAACATTGGAAATATTGTTAAAATATAATACCTTTAAATGCAAGAATCATCTCTGAAAATAGAGCATGCACAATTTTGAATATTATCTTTTTAATGAAAATTTAGCATTTTGGTTTTAAGTAACAAAACCAAAAGCACTAAAATCTATTTACATCATTGTCAGGGATTAGATTTTCTCATTAGATCCTCCCAGAGCAGAACTAGAACATCAGTTCTGCTCTGTGCTAAATATATTTATCTCCCTTTTTGTTGAACATTTCATTGGGGAAAATAACCTTCATTTGTTTCTATAATGTAAACCATAGCAAAGGATAGGTTTTTCAGTTAATATTAAATTCAAGTTGAAATAGTCATTCTCAAAATAGCCTTTCATTCTGTTTCAGGGACTTCACTGGTGGTATAGGATCAAGACCAAGACCAGGTAATTTAGTGTTGGTAGCAATAAAATCTTACATGCCTCCCTGTAATTTATGTTACAGTTTTGTATTTCTTTTATTTCTTCAGCTTTGCTGCCTCTTGACCTGCTTCTGAAAGTGCCACCCCTCATGCTCAGGGCCCACGTTAAGGAGCTAGAGACCGAGTTAGTGACGGGGTGGCAGTCCCATAGCCTTCCCGCTGTGATTCTTCGCGATCTCAAAGATCATGGTAGTACTTATTAGATCAAGTTGATGTCATGCACACAATGGGCAAACACAGAATTATAGTTGGGCCTCAATGTCTGAATGTGCTCAGGAGGTAATTTTAATACAGTAATCAGGAAAATTTTATTTTATTTGTCCACCATTACTAGTTTGGTAATTTAAGAAAGAGTGTTACAATGTATTAATTTATTTGATTGGATTATGATACCTATTGGATTATCGTATGGTATCAAGCTGTTTTTTGCTAGAATGTGCATTTCTGCTTCAGTGGGAATGTTAATTAGTTCGGTATTTACCAATAACAAAAAATAGTAACCACCTTTATTTGTAAGCTCTGTATATGTGATACAAAAGAGTGAAGATGTTTTTTCTTTCTTTACTCCAACACAGTTTGTTTTAGTTATTTTTGTACTTGATTCAAATGGTTTGTATTTGATTCAAATGTACTTGATTCAAATGACATTGTTTTTCAAATTAAAAATTTTTGAATATTTTAAACATAAAATATTTTTAGTATTGGTTTGGGGAAAATGTATTATTGTTTTTGATTTCTATTAAAAAGACCAAGCTACATTAGTAAGAGTACAGCAATCAGCTAACCTTTGACAATTTAGGGGAAAAGTTTAGTGATTGTGTTTTTAACGTATAACTTTATGTCTCTTGAGCATAAAATTTTGTTTTGCTACTTTGATTAATTTATACTTATTGATTACTAGTATTTTTATGTTGGCATCCTAAATTTGCATTCTTTTATAGAGTTAATATAGTAGTAAACATAGGAAATGTGAATTGATTGACTAATATAGTCCATGTCTTCACATTTATTAAATTTGCTTTGGAAGAATTATTGACAGTTTGGGGCCATGTACACCGTCAGCATAGATGCAAAAAAAGACGGTTTTGTTATTAAGATGTCCAAAACCATCATGTTGACCATGTTCCTCTCCTGCTATTTTGGCATAAGGTAAGTTCGTAACATAGTAACAGTTAAAATGGTTGTTGTTGATTGATTTTTCTAAGAGCTGAGAAGAATTCACACATATGTAAGCAATTCAGTTTTGTTGTCATTCATAGTAGGAAAAATTTCTTTTCTCAAGAGTGCTTCTGAGTTAGACTTGTATAAAACTGACCTTATATGAGAGAAATTTATCAGATCTCTGTACCTTTAAAATATGTCATAGCACAATATATATATTATTTTGACTTACAGTTTTTTCATATCTGATTTAATTTTTAAATGTCACTGATAAGTATATTTTTAAATTTAAAGCATTTTATTATTTAGCAGAGTTTCTTTTTTTTAATGTAAATTCTTTTATTTTAATTTATTTATTTATTTTTTTACAGTTGTAGATTTACAATTTTTTTGTGTGCTTGGGTTTCAATTATACAATGATCAGATACCCATCCCTCCACCAGTGCCTGTTTTTCACCATCATGGATAATATCCCTCCCACCCCCATCCCCACATCCCCCCCTGCCTCTGTGGCAGGGCAATCCCCTGTATTCTCTCTCTCCGTTTGGGTGTTGTGGTCTGCAAAAGAGGCATTGAGTGGCAAACATGTTCAGTCCATAGTCTACTTTCGACATGCATCTCCCCTCCTGGGAGGATCCTCCAAACATCCTTTATTTGGTGCTCCCTTCTCTATCTGAACTGCCCTTTCCTCTAGGATACCCGGCTGGCCTCTAAGTTATGGAGTAATCCTCCTGGTGTTGATCTCAGCTATTCTTGGGTATTAATCTCATACTTTGTTACTTTATATCCCCCAGATGAATGCAATCTTTCTATGTCTATCCCTCTCTTTCTGACTCATTTCGCTTAGCATGATACTTTCCATATTGTACCACTTGTATGTAAATTTCATGACTTCATCTTTTCTAACAGCTACATAGTACTCCATTGTGTAGATGTACCAAAGTTTCTTTAACCAGTCATCTGTTCTTGGGCATTCAGGTTTCTTCCAGTTTCTGGCTATTGTAAAGAGTGCTGCAATGAACAAACAAGTGCAGATGTCACTTCGACTATACATTTTTGCCTCTCTGGGATATATTCCCAGGAGTGGTATTGCTGGGTCAAATGGGAGCTCAATATCTAATTTTTTGAGAATCGTCCATACTGTTGTCCAGAAGGGCTGAACCAGTGGACATTCCCACCAACAGTGAAGGAGTGTCCCTTTCTCGCCACATCCACGCCAGCATCGGTTGCTTTTGTTCTTTTGAATGTGGCCAGTCTCTGAGGTGTGAGATGGTATCTCATTGTGGTTTTGATCTGCATCTCTCTGATGATTAATGATGTAGAGCATTTTCTCATGTGCTTTTTTGCCATTCGGATTTCTTCTTTGAGAAAGTTTCTGTTCATTTCATTGCCCCATTTTTGGATGGGGTTGGATGTTTTCTTCTTGTGGAGTTTAACCAGTATTTTGTATATCCTGGATATCAACCCCTTGTCAGATGTGTATTCGGCGAATATCCTTTCCCATTCTGTAGACTGTCTTTGTATTTTGGTCACTGTTTCTTTGGAGGTGCAGAAGCTTCTTAGTTTAAGATAGTCCCATTTATCTATCTCTGTTTTCACTTGCTCGGCCAGTGGCGTGGCATCTTTGAAGATACCATTAGCTTCAATATCATGGAGGGTTTTGCCAACTTTATCTTCAATGTACCTTATGGTTTCTGGTCTGATGTTGAGGTCTTTAATCCATTTTGATCTTACTTTTGTACATGGTGTTAGGCAGAGTTCTGAGCCTATTTTTTTTGCATGTAGCCGTCCAATGATGCCAACATAATTTATTAAAGAGGCTTTCCTTACTCCACTTCACATTACTTGCACCTTTATCAAAGATTAGATGATCATATGATTGAGGGGAGATGTCAGTGTATTCAACCCTGTTCCATTGGTCTGCAGTTCTGCCTTTGTTCCAGTACCATGCTGTTTTAATTATTACTGCTTTGTAGTACAGTTTGAAGTTCGGGAGGTTGATTCCTCCCATTTTCTTTTTCCCAAGAATTGCTTTGGCTATTCGTGGGGGCTTATTGTTCCATATAAATTTCAGGAGTGTTTGCTCCATTTCTTTGAAGAATGTCATGGGTATCCTTATAGGGATTGCATTGAATTTATACAATGCTTTCGGTAGTATTGCCATTTTGACAATGTTAAGTCTCCCGACCCATGAGCAGGGGATATCTTTCCATTTCCTCATGTCCTCTTTTATTTCCTGAAGTAGCGTTTTGTAGTTTTCTTTGTACAGGTCCTTTACTTCCTTAGTTAAGCTGATTCCTAGGTACTTGATTTTCTGGGGCACAATTGTGAACAGGATTGTTTTTTTCATGTTGCTTTCTTCTCTCTCACTGTTTGCGTATAGGAAAGCCATGGACTTTTGGGTATTGATTTTATAACCTGCAACTTTACTATACGAGTCTATTGTTTCTAGGAGTTTTTTGGTGGAGGTTATTGGGTTCTCTAAGTAGAGTATCATATCATCTGCGAATAGTGAGAGCTTGATTTCTTCCTTTCCTACCTGAATGCCCTTAATATCTTTTTCTTGCCTAATCGCTATTGCAAGTACTTCCAGTACTATATTGAACAGAATTGGAGAGAGTGGGCATCCCTGTCTCGTCCCTGATCTTAGAGGGAAGGCTCTCAGTTTTTCCCCATTGAGGATGATGCTTGCTGTAGGCTTGTGGTAGATGGCTTTAATTATGTTGAGGAAGGTCCCCTCTATACCCATTTTGGCTAGGGTTTTCATCATAAAGGGGTGCTGGATCTTGTCAAATGCTTTCTCTGCATCTATTGATATAATCATATGCTTTTTATCTTTTCTTTTGTTGATATGATGGATTATGTTGATTGATTTCCGATTGTTGAACCATCCTTGCATCCCTGGGATGAATCCTACTTGGTCATGGTGTATGATCTTTTTGATGAGTAGTTGGATTCTATTTGCTAGTAGTTTGTTGAGGATCATTGCATCTGTGTTCATCAGGGATATTGGCCTGTAATTCTCTTTCTTTGTGGTATCTCTGTCTGCTTTTGATATCAGTGTGATATTCGCTTCGTAGAAACTGTTTGGAAGTGTTTTTGATATTTCAATTTCGTGGAAAAGCTTAAAGAGGATTGGGAGTAAGTCCTCTTTAAAGATTTGGAAGAATTCACTATTGAATCCAACCGGGCCAGGACTTTTGTGCTTGGGGAGACTTTTTATTACCATTTCAATTTCCTTGATGGTGATAGGTCTGTTCAGGTATTCCAGGTCTTCTTGGTTCAGCCTTGGGAGTCTGTAGGAGTCTAGGAATTTATCCATTTCTTCGAGCTTTTGATGTTCCGTGGCATAAAGCTTCTCAAAGTACTCCCTGAGGATCCTTTGAATTTCTGTAGTTTCTGTTGTAATGACCCCCTTTTCATTTCTGATTCGGTTTATTAGGGTTTTCTCTCTCCCTTTCTTTGTGAGTTTTGCTAGCGGCGTATCGATCTTGTTAATTTTCTCAAAGAACCAGCTTTTGTTTTCATTGATCTTTCGGATTGTTTTTTGGGTTTCCATCTCATTAATCTCTGCTCTGAGTTTTATTATTTCCTTTCTCCTGTTCGGGTTGTGCTCCTTTTTTTGGTCCTTCCCCAAGCTCTTAAGCTGTGAGGTTAGGTTACTTATGTGTGTTCGCTGCTCCTTCCTGAGGAATGCTTGTAGAGCTATAAACTTTCCTCTTAACACAGCCTTTGCTGTGTCCCATAAGTTTTGGTAACTCGTGTTCTCATTTTCATTCGTTTCTAGGAATCTTTTCATTTCCTCTTTGATTTCCTGTCTAATCCACTCGTTGTTCAATAGTGCACTGTTTAATTTCCAGGTGTTTGATTTAGTTTTCTGTTTTTGTGTGTGATTTACTTCTAATTTCAGCGCATTATGGTCTGAGAAGATTGTGGATACAATCTCTATCTTCTTAATTTTATGGAGGCATGTTTTGTGGCTCAGCATGTGGTCTATCTTGGAGAATGTTCCATGGACGCTTGAGAAG